TTGAAAGATAGTTTTCCCAGATATAGAATTCACATTTGACACTATTTTTCTTTTGATATTTAAAAAATGTGCTGCTTTCTTAGGCCTCCATAATTTCAGATGAGAAATCTATTGTCATTCAAATTAGTGTTATCTATAAGTAATAAATCATTTCTCTCTGGCTACTTTCAAGATATTTTCTTTGAAATTAGTCTTAATTGTTTAAGAATGATGTGGCTTGAAGTGAATTTCTTTGACTTTATCCTACTTGAGGTTCATACAGCTTGCTGAATCTGGGGATTTATACCTTTCATCACATTTGAGACATTTTCAGCCATTATTTCTTCAAATGCTTTTTCAATACTATTCTTTCTTCTTTCCTTCTTTAACTCCCATGATATAAATGTCGAGTTTTTTGTTATTGTCTTACAGGTCTCTTTTTTTCCAGTCTATTTTCTCTCTCTGTTCAGATTGACCAAATTCTGTTGAACTATCCTCAAGTTCACTGATTCTATCCTCTGTCACCTCCACTCTATTTTTGATCCCATTCATTAAATTTTCTATTTTTGTTGTATTTTTCAGTTTTATAAGTTCCATTTGGTTATTTTTATATCTTCTATTGTTTACTGAAATTTTCTAATTTTTATTATTCTCAAAAGAATCTATAATTGCTTATTAAAATGTTTTATGATGGCTTTAAAAAAATTCTTGACATGTAATTTTAATATCTGATTCATTTCAGTGCAGGCATCAGTTGATTGCCTTTTCTCATTCATGATATGATTTTCCTGGTTCCATTATGATGATTGTCTTCCTATTATATCCTGGACAGTTTGGCTATTATGTTAAAAGTCACTAGACCCTATTTAATTTTTTTATTTTAACATGAAGCCACCCTGTTTATATTTGACACTTAGGTCCTGGCCTACTTTTGTAGACTGTAGGTGCAAAGACAAGGTAATTTTCAGAATGTCTTTGATGTTGTTTTCATGTTTATGTTATACCTCTTGGGCTTCCACTAGTTCTTGTTAACGCTGCTTGAGGGGGCAGAACTAACTCCCTGAGGCTAAGTATCCTGGTGCCTTTATGTGAAGGTGGAGGTTTTTTCTCCTCCTTATGTGGGTAAAGAGCACTTCCTGGCTGGGTGCTTATTTTGGTAGGATCCTTCTTGCAGGTGGCTCCAGCCACGTGAGGGCTTAAGAAGGGGCTTGTGAAAGGGAAAATCGGGACTGTGAGGATATAGGAGTTTCTCAGGCTGGGTACTTGTTATCTCCTACTTTTTTTTTTTCTGGAGCTAATTTGTCAAAATCAAATGTTACTCTGTGAAAACAAAGGCCCTTCTGGAGACTAGGGACTTATCATTTTGTTTATGCTTTCAAAAATTATATTCCAGAGAACTAAAAGATCTGAAATCACACCTAGAATTGACTTTTACTGATCTGAATATAAGTAGATAGGCAAGTAAGTAGCTATTTTATCTACACCAATAGCAACAACTTCTCTCTCTTTAAACTACTTGTTGTGAACATCTCATTAAGGTTATTTTGACATGACATTGATTAATATTTAGAATTGTCATTTTCCATCCCCCCAAAAAATCCTTATTCATCATGCTTCCTCAGTGGTTAAGAGCATATTGTATGGAGCCAATCCAACTTGGGTTTGAATGCCGACTCTGCTGTTTATTAGCTGTGTATTGTTAGTAAGTCTCTTAGCCTCCCAAAATCTCATCTAAAAATGAAGGTAGTAATAGCTGGCATAAAATAAAATTTAGTAACAAAATGTAAATTAAGTGTACAGCATAGTACTTAGCTAATAGCAAGTACTCAACAGATGGATTGTTGCCAACAGACGCCATCCTCATTAATATCATTATCATCTCCATGTTATAGATAAAGAAACTGAGGCTTTGAATGGACAAATAATTTAACTTAGGTAAGTTTGTACACTTAAATGTCAGGAAAGCTAGAATTCAAATCTACATCTGACTTCTTCCAAATCCTTCTTTCCTAACCATTATGTAACACTGATACAAATGATTATTTTAGAAAACTTGAATCTCCATGAGAGCATGGGTTAGTCCATGTTCAGGACATACAAAAATATAAGAATGTGTAGTATACAATTAAATAACCTGGACATACTTAATTTTCAATTAATTTTTGATTATAGTGGCACAAATATTCTCATAGAGATACCTATGCATAAAAATAGAAACAACGCAGGTAGTTTTAACAGAATTTGATAACCAAGCTTTGATATAGGATGATTTTTGACCCTTTTGCCCAGAGTCAAATACTCCCCTTTATTATGCTTACCAGTTTCTGAAATCTGATAGATCTAAAGACGGTTTATTTTTCTTATGCTTATGCTATTTAATTAAAAATTTAATATAATTAAGATGCAGTAAAAACTTAGATGTTTCAATATAATCCAGTTTTATACAAATCTGTTTCCGCTACATAAAAAAGTAGTTCCTATAATAGTTTTGCACATTGCTAAATTAATAAATGCAGATCACAGTAAATTTCTGAATCTATAATTATAATGAAACAAAAACAATTCAAGAAGAATAATTTATGTTATTTTCCAATTAAAATAAAATTGCATTAATGACAGAGACACAAATTCTCCAAATGAATTTGCCCAATTATTAAATAAGGAAAAAAATTCACTGATGAAAAATATTTTAAAAAGGAAGTTGTTTACTGTGTATATTTGGGTTTTTTTCCACGAGTTGTTTTTCTGTAGCATAGGAGGTAAGCAATTATTTATTTTTCTCTCAGGCTTTGCTAATTTAGAGATTTTTAAAAAATGAACTGATGGCCACATATAAATCAAGAGTATATTTATGTTTTACATTTTTACAATAGGAATATAACATTCAATTCTGCTTCTTTATAAGTTAAAGATAAACATAACTTATTTATTACGTCTATACATATACACATATACTAATTCCGTACTTAAAATAAAAGATAGAGGCAAAGTCAAAAAAGAAAAAAAGGCCCGCTTGTGATGGGAAGTTTGGAGGTTGATACATAGAAAAGAGAAAGAAAAAGAGGAAGGAAGAACTAATGAGGAAAATGAGGAAAACCAGTGATGAGAGAGACCAAATGAAGAGAGAATGTTGAAAATATGTTTAAGTCCAGAAAACAAAGAGGAGAATGAGGAAGAAAGCAAGATGGAGAAGAAGAAAAAAATAATTAGAAATATGAGGAAGGAGAGGGGATGATGCAAAAGATCCCAGATGGAAGTCTAAATCTATAAGCATCAGAGATTTGCTTTTACCTTAAATCTTAAGAAAAAAATTAATACACTAATTTTTTACTATGAAGTTCTACGTTATGAGTATCTTCTTTATTATGCCTTTAATAGTCCAACAATGGGAAAGGTATATATCATTAGCAACACTGCTCCCCACCAAAAGCAAATCAGGTGTATATAAAATAATCCGCAAATATTTTTCAGAACAATTATTTTCTTTATATTCAAACCATGGTGTGCAGTCTTTTGAGAAGCCACTTTGAATTGAAATGGACTCTTCATGCTATTCTCTGTGCTATATAGATTTGGCTCCCTCCCTACCCTCATATGGTGATATCTTTGAAAGCGGGGGAAACTTATTTTATCTATTTATGCTTATCACCCAGAGCCATACTTGTAAATAGAAAACAATAAATACTTCAATGAATACATGAGAGTATTATGTATAAAAGGATGAAATACTGAATGCTAGTAGAAATTTTACATAAGACAAAGTGAACATTTTACTTCAAAAAATTATATATCAAGTAAAAATTCATTTTATTTCTTTATAATCTTGGTGATTTGTGCTGGAGGAATAAAGTAAAACATAGTTGCAGGTTTAGAAATCCAAATCTCTATAGTTTCACCCTATATTTGTTCTATGCCTCTAGTTTCATCAACTAGCCTTTCTACTTTCTACTACAAAGAATAAAGAAATATAAATTTATTTTCTATGTTCCACGTAGTAATGGAAAGTGACAAAGATGAAACTGAGGCATGCACAATCTCGGTTGGTTAGCGCTTAGGCTGTTCTTTCCAGATAATTACAACCACCTTCCTCTCCAGGTGTACTGAGATACCTCATTCTAACCCAAATAACTACATTTAGATAGCCATATCTCAAGTCCACCTTCCTTTTCCACTAGTGCTCATCCCCTCTGAGTGTTTCTTAGGGCACTGAGCTAAGATTACATAAACCTGTGTTCACTGAGTTTTCCATTGAACATCAATTCCCCAAATTCTCCAGTCCAAGAGCACAGGAAGGAGGAGTAGATTTAAGTTACTACTTCTTCATATTATTTATTTTATTAACTGAATTGCTTTACTACTACCTTGATTTTAGGAGTTTATTTTTAGCTTATCTTGAACATTCTAGTTGAATGATAGCTGCTTTCTGATAATAGTGGCTTAATACCTCTAGTTTAAATATTTATTTTTAAGGCCAAGTGAATTGTCCATTAATCTTGTTAGTGCAAATACTACTATATGTTCAAAGAACTATAACCAGTGGAAACATGGCTTATAGGAGGCCAGACAGTTATTTTGATTTATTTTAATCTCCTGGACTTATTTTCTGAGTGTTATTTTAATAACAGTTGAATGTGGTTCTTTTTATAGATTTATTCTAATTCTTTTATTATTAAGCAGGTTGAAAGTTTTTGAACTGGCTCATGAACCAGTTTCATGATATACCTGGGTGTAAATTCATTTTGAATGCAAATGTTTTTCTGTTTCATTTCTCATTGATCTCACTTTTTATTTCATCATTATCTTTAGAAAGTGGCCAAATGAGAGACAAAGCAAATGTTTCTGTTTGGAACCATGAATTTTACATGGGCCGTAAATAATATTTAAATTTGCTTGTATGACTGCAGAAAGTCAGGATAGATAATAAAACATTTCTTGTTCTTCCTCTTCATCAGATAATAAATTAACTTTTGTGAATCTACTGTGTGAAGAGCACTGATCCAAATTCCATGTTAAACTTGCAGGTGATGGAAATCAAAGGACAAATGATTCACGTCCCAGAATCAAATTCTATTTTATTCTTGGGCTCTCCGTGTGTGGACAAGTTGGATGAACTCATGGGCCGGGGACTGCATCTCTCGGACATCCCCATCCATGATGCCACCCGAGACGTCATTTTGGTTGGTGAGCAGGCAAAGGCCCAAGATGGCTTGAAGAAGAGGATGGATAAATTAAAGGCAACTTTAGAAAGAACTCACCAGGCCTTGGAAGAAGAGAAAAAGAAAACAGTGGATCTTCTATATTCTATTTTCCCTGGCGATGTAGCCCAGCAGTTGTGGCAAGGGCAGCAAGTGCAGGCCAGAAAGTTTGATGATGTCACCATGCTCTTTTCAGACATTGTTGGCTTCACGGCCATCTGTGCCCAGTGTACCCCCATGCAAGTGATCAGCATGCTGAATGAACTGTATACTCGATTTGATCACCAGTGTGGATTTTTGGATATTTATAAGGTAATGGGATTTAGTTACTTATATATAAATACTTTTTAATAGTAAATTGTGATCTTAATTAAATTGTAAGGATATATTTTTTTTTTCTTAAACTTGATAGTAAAAGATAGATATCTCTTTAATTTAGAAATCTTTAGACAGAATATAGGTATTTCTGCCTTATAAGTAAACTTTTATTATGAGTCTCTTTATAGTATCGATAGGTAACTGTGAGTCATGATATTGCTCAGTATTGAAAAATTAAACTTGCTGAATACTAGGCCTTTTAACCACATAATGTCTGAGAGAGTGGGATTCCAATATAAACTAAGAATTTTATGTTGACGGTTAAAAAGAAACAATAAATTGTGCTGAAATACACATTGCATTATCAGTTAAACCATGGTTCATCAGCGTTTTGCACTGCACTGTTGCTGAATTCCCTCTAATACCGAAAGACGCATGTGAGGATTCTAGCTATTGCCCAAATGGCCAATGGCTTTTAGTGGAAGTACTTTAATTTTCCAGGCTAAATAATGGAAGAGTTCTGAAAAAGGGCTCTAATCACTATTGGTAGGTCTGATTTGACTAATAACAAATTTATTAATTTTTTATTACACCATCACAATATCTATAGACATTCAGCCTTATATCCACCTAATGAATAACTCTGTAACTTTATATAGAATTTCATGTGGATTGTACAATGTCAGGGCTCAAGGCTTTATTTTATGAAGGATAGCAAGTACATTTAGTATAAACAGTAGTGAACAATAAGGTTCATAGTTACAGTGTATTGCAACGAAGTGATATATGCAACATGCTTAAAACAGTATATAACAGTAAATGTACATGTTAGCTGCCATTATGATTTCTCAGAAAGTTGTATCTGGACATATGGGAGTATGTATTATGTGATTATCTTGTAGGTTTTTGTATGTACCTAACTACAGTACATCCCGTGCTTATTAGAAAAGAATAAAGTATAACCTCATTTAATCTCCTATCACTAATGTGGAGTTGTTAACATTATCTCCATTTTCAGAGAAAGAAACTGAGTTTTAGAAAGGTTAAATAATCAGATAATGTAGCTCATAAATTAGAACTTGAACTGAGGCTTGTCTGATGATTCTAAAGCCTCCCGTATTTCCACAAGCCTAGGCTATGATCTAGACAAAGATCAAATAATAAAAACAAAGAGTAGAAACTCTTTCAAAGCTAGTTTACATGATCAATAACTATAACTATACTGTCAAGTAATGAAAAAACTCTGACCACCTTACCCAAATCCACCCCCCTCCCTTCCGGTAGCAAATAGTTCAGAGTTCTCAGAAGCTGCATCTTAGAAGCTGGGGACTCTTCCATCTGACATCCTCCCTTTTTTTCTCAGAAACCAGCTAGCATCTTCTCCCTTAATTCCTCTTGTGGAGAAATAGCGTACTAAGAAGGAGACAATGAGATCGATGATCCCAAGTGCAGGCAATAAGGGGTATAATTTAAAAATAATGAAACTGAATAGTGACTCTTCTTTTTAAAATCACTTTTCCAAGGTAACTCTGAAAAATGTTAGTAATAAAATACTTCTCTCTGTTGGGTTGGGAGTAGAGGGGCATTCCCATCTCAAATCCCAAACTTATTTTGAAAATATCGGTGGAGTTAAAACATTGACTATCAGTTTCAGGCTGGAGTTGGGGACAGCAGGTAGAAAGAAAAGATGGAGCAGCCAAGAAATGCCAGGAGCAGAATTCTATTAGATCAGAGAACCTGACAGTAAGAATCTGAAAAGCCACAACACAAAGTTCCTATTAACAAAGCAGCGCAGACATTCCTTTATGCAGCAGGAGGACCCTTCAACTTTCTCCAGGTATGAAAGCTGAGTCCAGCAAAATAAGAAAGAACAGAAATCCAGACTCACTCTTAGGGGACCCGAGACCTTGGGATTGGGCACAAGGGTACTAGATTACTAGAACTGGAAGCTGGATAGTGTATTCAGGCCGCAAGTATGAAGATGAGCATCAGGTGTCGGAAGCCAGCCGGCGAAGTAATTGAGGGTACCTGAAAGGGGGAGCATGGATTGAGGAAAAGAAAGAAGACAGACAGAATTGCAGGAGGGAGCACAGATTCAAGCTGTGTCTGTGTCCCTGAGTTTATTTAGAACACACTATTTATAACATTACAATAAGAAAGACAGTAGTCAAGAACCAAGGTTAGCCAGATTACTATATCTAGTAGAACAATGAGATTCTCACAACTCAGAACTCTCTGCTAAAATGTAGCAAGGAATTTGCAATGATTGCTATGTGAACATTTACCTCCCGGTTTTTCCCAGCACTTTACAATCTCAACTTCTTACGTTGTTGCCAAGTACACAAATATCCTTGTTCCTTGTTATACGATTTCACATGTCCATAAGTGACTCCCCACATCTCCCCCTTTTTTTATTTTTTAAATGCCCGAACCCTCCTGGTTCTGGCGCAAGGTGACTGTGCCTGTCTTAGGTGATCCCCTCACCAGATCTGGAACTTACCCGTCATCGGTACGTGCGTTCCGTCATGCACGCCCTGTCTTAGGTTGTCCAGTCTCTGAGGGAGTCTTACCCGTCTTTGACTACCAGCCCCCGCGGGAGGGAGATGTCTATCTTTTAAGCCGTATTTCGAAGTCTTACATGATGTAGGTTGGCCTGAAGTTTTAACATAGCACTAATGAAGTATTTCAGTAGAGAAGGAAGCAGGCACAAAACAACAATTACACAGGCTCCTATAGTCAAAACAGAAGCAGCTAGCTGATAGAAGGAAGACCATGAGGGGACAAGGCCCTTAAGGTGATCCAAAAATTCAGTGGCCAATTTATCAGCGTCAAATTGTAGAGGTTTAGCATTTTTAAGTCCTTGTATTTCTTTATGCAGGTTAATTAAATCTAAGGATACATTAACATTGTGCCATATGCCTTTTAAATGATATTTTACTCGATCCCAGTCATGACTAATCTCATTATATCTTCTAAATGTGACACAGATCCAACGATACTCCACATGACATTCTAGTTGAGATCTAATTTTTAGACCCTGGACTTTATCACCCAAATATTCTACTGTCTTATACAGAGAATTTTCTGTCTATGTTTTCCTGTGTTCCCAGGGCTAAGGCAACATTTCTAGACAAATCATTGACATAATGAGCAGTTTGTACAGTTTGTGAGAGAGCCACCGCAGCAGTGGCAGCAGTAGCTATAAGAGATACAATAACAAGTATTTCTGCAACAATTAGTCCAATCACCCTCCTCATAGATGGCATGTCCAGCAGCGATGTGTTGTTCACTTTCACAATGACATTTGGTCCTTGCTATATGGTCGGATGTAAGAGAGGTG